TAAGAAAATTACTTTCCTTAACCAAGCTAATATAATCTGTGGCAAGTTGCTAACCAAACATGCCCTTAGAGGTAAAAACAATTAAATGAAAAAGTTTTGCTAACGTGCAACAAGCGAACAGAAGAACTGTGTCCTATAAGGTACAGGTCACACGTGGAGCGCAATCAACGGAGGAGTCCACTGGGACCCACGCTAAAGGTGTTTGGAAATCAGCCAATCAGGAAAGGCCTTCTTCTTCTAAAAAACACCGATCAGACAATCTTTTTGGACCCAATTGTCTCATGTGTGGCACAGAGAGAGAGAGAGAGAGAGAGAGATTGAAAACGACGGCATCTCTCTCTCCACTTCAGAAGGCGGGGACCACAAAAAATGAACGGTCGTAATCGTACGTATTTGCCACGTGACGGTCCTGATGTGGGAAGAGGACTTTGATCCAAAAATCTACGGACAGAAATAATGTAGGCCCCCACCAGTTTCTGTATTGGGTTGGCGCAGAAGATGAGCAGAGCTGAGCAGAGCAGAGCAGAGCATGGGACACATTATCTGATCAGATGCAAAAACACATCCCTACCTAAATGAAAGGTCTTTGTCAAGAAAGATGGAACCAATCTTAACCGTTTGATTGATGTCAATTATGAATAGGCACCCTCTGATTTTACTAAAAAGAAACTGAGTGATGATGATTTTTCGTTAATTTTGGTTTTTCGAAAGGCTGCAGTATTCATTCATTATTTTTTGGGTTTTGTTGTAGAAGTAGTTGAAAGCGACATTAAATCCCAACGCAAAAATATGCTCAAAAAAAAAAAAATCCCAACGCAAAAATTATCAAATGATTGATTTATTTTATTTTTATAACTCTTTTGATTTAGGTTAAGACATTGCAAATAACACCTTTTTCTCTTAATCACAATATATTATTTAAAAATATAAATATGATATTAGTATTTATCTACCTTACTTTTTAAAGATTATAAAAAAAAATTATTTTAAAACTAAGTAGTTTTAATAAAATATTATTAAAAATGACAAAAAATATTTTAATTCATATTTTAAAAATAAAATATTTTAATCTTTTTCAGTGAAAATTTATTAAAATAATATAATTTTAAAATAATTTTCCTCCTAATCTTTAAGAGATAAGGTAAATATGCACTATTTCCTATAAATATATCATAAATAATTAATTTTAATTAATTTTTATATTTTTTGATATTGAAAATGATAATAATAACAACACAGTTTAATACAAACACAACATGATTAAACAAAAGTCTTAAACAAGCTTGCAATTCACTCCTAAGGTCATCCTGACAATGTGGTTCTAGCTAGCATTGCTTACCAACCATGTACATAAAGAGTGGAAGGGGCGCGCATCATTCTCTTAAGAACAAAGATTATTGCTCGAGAGCTAATGTATTAGCTAGTATAAGTGTTGATTGTATTAGTTTCTGTTTTTGAAAGCAGAGGTTTTCATCAATTTGAGTCATATGCTGTCTCAAGATGAGGATGCAAAAAAGGATAAGAGAGAGTGTTGTCTTTATGCATCATTGATGTTTAAAATGTGATCATAATTGGAGACTAAACACATATAATTTATGGGGGTGTGGGAACAAAGGGAAATTCTTTTTAGTTGGATTTTGGAAAGGCAAATGTCGAGTCATTTTCGAGCTTAAGGGTATGTCTCCATAGACTATATAGTACGGTACAGGTATGGATTTTTTTTTTTTTCTTTGAAAGAGGACAATTAATACATATTTTAAGTGCATTGGGAGTAGGGGAAGGGAATCTTATGAAACTTGAAGACACAACGATCCCTACTAACTAATGACCTTAGCTACTAAGTAGGAGCGTAGAGATCACCAAAGGTCATACTCATACCCCTTAAATCTCTTCATAGAGACTAAAAAGAAGTATAAAGTGAGGGTTCAAGAAAAAAAACTTTACTCTCAATCTTTTTCTGTTCCACCCTGTCCTACACAGTGGCAGAGCCCAAGAATAATTTTAGGGGGTTTAAATAAAATTTTAACCAAAAAAAAAAATTGTATGTCAATTCGAAAAGTAAAAAAAAAAAAAATTTAAGTAACATTTATTAGTTTTTAACAATAAGCTAATAGTAATTAATAACGTAATATAAATACTATAACTAAAAGATAAAATAAACATATATTAAATAACAATATATATATTATGAAGAGAGAAAGAGGAAGTAAAAATATTGGCAAACATTTTAGGAAAAAAAAATGTCAATAGACAATTTTTATTCAATTAATTTTTATTTTCCCCCATATTTCATATTACCTTTATTTTCATTATCTTTCTCTTCGTCATTAAAAGTAATCCTTAAAACACAAATTCAAGAAAATAATTAAAATGGTATGAAATAAATGAGGATAAAAATGATAAAAATAGAACACAATGGACTAAATTAAAATTTTTAAAAAAGTATAGGCGAAGCTGTGCACGCACCCTCAGGGCCCGCCAAGGCTCCGCCGGTATTCGCACATTAGGGGTTTTGAGCTTGCAAACGACATTGCTTTCACTAACCGAAGACAATTTCCTCACCAAGGCAATGGATTCCTAAATTAACCCGTCTTTTACCATGAAGTACTCTTGTATTTTTTTAATAAAATTTTTTTTGACATTAACTTTATAATATCCGATAATCACATTGAATCTTAACAAATTTAAATTGAATGACATTAGACCTCATTAGAGGAAAACTCTCTTGATGTCTGTTTCTACATTTATAAAACTCAAAATCAAAATCTTATTTAAAGGAAACTGAATTCTTTTTACTCAGACCAACAAGTCGTTAATGTATTTTTTTAATAAAATAATTAGTTCTTTTGCCGATAAAAAAATCTTTTATCCAAAAATATTGAAATCGTATGCTTTTTTTTTTCTTTCTTTGCCTATTTTGAAAATGAAAGATCATAATTAAACCAATGCACAAAAAAGTGGCTTTCTACCACATCACTCTCACAAAAACCGAATTCAAAAAGCCCCCTCCTTGATAGATAGACCTGGGCCAATTGTTGCTTTTAGTCACCTCAATAATCGAAAGCAGATTCTGGGAAAGAAGAGAAAGATGAGAGTGCAATTTAGGCATCTTCTGGATATGGGAGACCAAAAAAGCGGCACACTTTTTTATCTTTTTTATCTTTTTTTTCAAGCTCTAAAAGAATCAACCTTCCCTGGAAAGTACAATGATAAACAACTTTTCATTAAGGAAAGCATATGAGGTAAGCACTTTTGTCTTGAAGAAGCCTCTCCTAGGAGTGAGGGATATGCATCACCGTCTGTTCAATTTCAAGAACAAAGATCCGCTTAAATACTCGAGACACACATTTTGCCAGCTTTTGTCTTCTTTAAAGATTTTTTTTTAATTTAAAAAAAAAAGGTTTCCGGGTGTCTCACCACCAACTGATTTCAAAGACTAATTCAACAACCACCATTTCTATCAAACATGTAGTAACTTATACGAACACGCTTTTAGCTTTAATGATTCGATCCCAAACCTTAAGTGTTTGGGTGAATGTGGTTAGAGTTTTGAGCTCCACCACTGTCATGAACTCCACTAAAAATTGGCTTGATGGTCGTGCGTTTCATTTGAGGGGTGAAATGTTCACCCGGTCTGAGAACCAGTTACTAACAACTAATTTATACTAATTTTTTAACTATTACCTTTGTCAAAAAAAAAAAATGTAGTAACTTGTACAAAAAAGCATAGAAAAACAAATGGGAACCTTTTGCATGGTTAAAGAAAGAATATTAAAAGGTTGAGAAGAATTAGAAATCCAAAAAACCATTCTTTCTTTCTGTATGGTTTTTTGGTGAGAAGAAGAAGAAAAAATTAACATTTCTTCTCCCAATGACTTGGAATCCTAATTAAAGACATCTTAGTAGATACATTTATGTTCTTTGAATTCTTGTTACCGAATCAAGATGATTCCCTTTTCAGGCTAGTACTATTGAGTCATCAAAACATACTTGTTCAACAATAGTTTTTAAAGCTAAAATAAAAAAAATTTTAGAAATGGCCTGGGAAAAAAAAAAAGCCAATAGTTTTTAGAAGGTATTCCACGTACCTGGTTGCGAGATCCTCCATAGAAGATGCATTTTGTTTGTTAATGACAAGCTCTAAAGAGGGTCTCAAAATTTTTGAGAGGATCACGATCTCTTGGTGTATTCCCTAGTGTGTTTCCCTGGTAGTGAAGTAATATGTAATATGTAAAATTGTAAATCATACAAGAACCCTATTTAATCCAATTTACATGATCCTATCACAATGACTACATTTTTTTTTTTAAATAATCCATTAAAATGTATTAAAGGAAGAAAAATTAGGAAACATTCATCTGGCTATATACCAAAGAAAAAAAAAATTGTGAGCATCCAAGGCAATGGGTAGAAAAAGAGATAGCAAAAGGCAGAGTGGGGGAATGATGTGAGATACATGGGTGTGCGTATGCAAACAAACGTTAAGGTTTTTTTCATCAAAAATACCTTTTTTATTTTTGGGTAAAAGCAAGGGGGCAAAGCCCTCATCAACAAAATCTTTTGATATTTGTTAACTTTAACAGATGCTTGCCCACCATATCTTCTCTAAGTTTCCTTCATTTGTTTTTGTTTTCTTTTCTAAATATCTATCCTTTTCTTTCTCCATTTCTTAGTCCGCTTGGAAACAACGCGTTCTTTGCATCCCACACATTTTTCTTTTTAAAATTTTCTCTATTTTTTCCTCTTTTATACCAAAACCCAAAAGTAGACACATGCTCGTCAAAAGCTATTCATGGTAGCCCCTACATTACCATTCCAAGATTCTGATTGGTCTCATATATTTTTGGTGGAGGTGGCTCCACAGGTCTTTGCATGGGTGACTTGGCTACGTACCCTCCTAACATCGGTTTTGTTTCTTGTTTACCCATATTCTTTCAATCTCTTATCTCCCTTTTTATTTTGTTTTTGATTTTTGGAGATCTAATCAAAGGTCAACCCAACATTATTGTTGATTTCTATGTCTTTTTCATGTTTTCTTTCCATTTTGTTTTTATAATAATTTTTTTTTTTTTCTAGCCAGAGTGGGTCTCTTGGTTCTAATTGTTAGTTCTTCTGCAAACAACTAAAGTGTTTCAAAGCTAATTTTCTTCTAATGAAAGTAACATGTTATGAGTTCAAGTTGTAAGTGTATAACAGTATAGGTGAGATCAATAAAAGGATGATAAATGCAAATTTTAGGGTTTTATGGTAGTCAATTTCTAATGGAAAAATTATAGAGTTGAGATTAATGGTTAAAGGGAGAGGTACAAGTTTCTAAAGTTTGTTCCGTGGATGGACCATAAGAAACAAAAGAAAAAGAAAGGAAAGAGAGGAGATAAAGAAAAAAGGGACAGACATTTTTATTTAGTCTTTTGAATTTTTTTGTCATTGCTTGATGATGCAAGCACCTACTAAGTGGAGAATAAGATAAAGAGACAAATTGAAATGAAATCAAAAGGGTTTGGACTTTGGAGCCTCGTCTGATGGTCATATATTTCTTTAGTTATGGTGCAAAGTGCCTCAAGAATTATAGTTGGATTTGGTGGCGCCTTTTATTCAATGATTCAATGATTTTGGTTGCTTTGGCTAGGGGAGAAAGAGATGACATTCTCCATCACCCACTGCATTTTTATAACGAACTTAGACCACAAAGAGTTGACCATCCATGATGTTGAGTTTCACTTTCCCTTTCCAATCACTTCAGCTTGTATTTGTTGTGAATGAAGCTTTAGTTTAGTGATTAAACAACAGATGCAGATTTTAAATGCCCAATGGGTACTTCCTAATACAATAGGAAGAAAAGCCAATCATCAGTTGGTAAAATCAGCCATGTAAAATGCACAAGATTTGGGTTCTAATCAAATGCTGACATCCCAATCCCTACTTGTAAAATTCCCTAATTTTAAAAACACAAAGAAAGGAAAAACTTTGACTTTTGGATTGTTAGTCCTAACTGCATCTTAAAATAAATAAATAAATAAAAAGAGAGATTAATTTTGAATAACAATACAACTGACGTGGGGAGGTGCCCATCAATAAAGTTTAGTATATATAAAGTTCTTTGTTTTCTGTATTAAGGACTTATCATCGAATCCTGCCTCGAGGTGAGGACATCAAAAAGAGGAATGGTTGCTTCCAGTTGCAAAATCAGATTAACTAAAAAAGAGGTCAAATGCAACTTTAAAAAATTGTTGATTACCATAGTTCTTAACACAAATGTTAACTAATGAACCTTTTTTTTTTTTTTTTTTGAGGTAATAATTAATTAATGATGGTTGATGTAATGTCTTATTCTGATAAGGCCTGATGAGTGACATCAAGTCATTATCATAACCACCAATATAATTATGATTAAGGTAGAAATTAACCAATATTATACTCGTAATGTGGCCATCTTTTCAAAGATGGACAAGGACTAACGAACAAAATACCATGTTAGTTGCCGTCTGAATTGTGAAATCTAGGCGAATCAAAGTTGGTGTTTTCGGTTCGGAACAGAGGTTTTCAAATCAAATTTAGCTTTAGTTTGCGGGTGCTAGTTCATAGTTATAGTTGTAGATTTTTTGGTTTTTTAACATTTTAAAAATATATAAAATATATTTAATATATTTAATGTTAATTATCAACGATTTAAGTAACTCAATGATCATCTCTTTTTGTTAGAAGTAAAAAATTTTAAATTCGAGTCGTATGATATGCGGATGAAATGAGAGATATGCGGATGAAATGAGACAAGGAATATGAGATTACTGTATTTCATTGTGTAATCAAAATAAAAAAATAATTATAATTAATATTTTATATATTTTTAAAATAATAAAAAATATAAAAATATAAAAATTGAAAGTTAAAAAACTGAGAAGTATATTATCAAATGAAGCTTTAATATGCTATCTATGTCGAACCGGAAAAACACCGTGTTTGATCTCCACAAGAAAAGATCAAGTTAAACAAACAGTAGGATCTATGCCCAAACCGGAAAAATACCGTGTTTGATCTTCACAAGAAACGAATAATACAAAGAAAAATTCCCAAAGAAAAGCGTAACTAAGTGAGAGTGCTATTCATTTACAATTAATAATTTACACCTTCTCGCCCTCCACAAAAAAAGTACTCTTCTTTGTCTTCTCCCCTGGGTGATGACATCCTAAGATTCTCCAATGTGTGCATTGTCACGTTGAGAGTTTATATAGCAATTGTCTTGTTTTGTTTCTCTCCCTTTTGGATTTTGAATAAGGGTTTTTTCAGTAAGAATTTCTTCGTCCTCCTTAGGTTTCTAATGGAATAATTTACTGATTTGAATTACATCTGGTGTTTATATCGTCCATGACATTAGATATGAAGATAATTCATTGATTTGAATTGCCTTAAGGGTTTGAGATACCAAGTTCTTTGTTATATACATATTTTGTAAAATTTTATAGTGATTGATTAAGGTGGGATTGAACACTTGAACTGCTTTCAAAATCATTTTGTATGAGTTGTGCAAGATTTTTGTTATTAATGCAATATCTCTATTTACCTATAAAAAACAAAAAATGCGCGTACACTATAACCTAGAGATTTTTCTTTGCTATTTTGTGCATTCCTGATCAAAATATTTTCAAACACCATAAAGTGGTAAGATGGTTTTGACATAAGAGTATGCAAGTGCACCTGTGATTCTGTGAAAATGTAACCATCCACCCTGTCGAGTATGCGGCCTGCAAGGATAATAAAACTGTAAGAAACATTCTCCGGAATTTTAATAAGAGATAGATGGCAAGATACATAAACATAGACTACAGCATGGGTAATGCCGAAATGACAGATTACAGTCAATGTAATTGAAGGAATCCATTAGACAGTTTTGTGGTTAAAAATCACATAGACTGGCAATTAGAGAGATTATGATCAATGAGGGCCAAAAAACAACAGAAATCATGAGTATTCATTTAATTGAAAAAAGAAAAGAAAAAAAAAAAGACAAGTGCCGGAAAACATATAATATCAGCATGATATCCCAGCCAACATTCCTCCAAAAGGATGGTAAGAATATTACTTTTCAGATATATAAAATAAGCAAAGTTCTTGCTCACTGTCACGATACCAGAAAATTAATCACACCAGCATCACATTTGATCATTGACTTGGTAATGTCACCAAAAACAGATCCAAAGAAGTTCAGAAACCCAAAAGCAATTGCACTAACAACCTCTGAACCCAAAAGCAATTGCACTAACAACCATACAAAGAATATGTTAAATGCATGAAATTAAAATTTTCAAAACAACAGAAAATTAAGATTAAATACCTTAGCAAAGATGTTGGCCAGCTAAAAATGTTTGAAAATACAACAGAAGTTGCTATGCACCCACCCAAACCAACAAAAGTTCCCTCTCATGTTTTCTTTGGGCTAATGTTAGTAAGTGGTGTCTGACCAATTGCCTGCAGTTGAAAGAAGAAAAATACAGGTCAGACAGATGTGCCTACAACATAGGATGCCACAAAGAGGTCCTCATGTTGTTATCATGGCTCATTGGAGCTTTTAATAAGACGCTAAAGAAATATAAAAACTAAAAATTCAACTAGTTTTCAAACAGACATAATGAGTTATTGTATCTTGCAATGGTAAATTTTGTGTGTTTATTTTGGAAAAAAGAGTGCCAATTTCTTGAATTGCAATTTGTGAGTAGACAAGACATCCATAGATTGAAAACTTTTAAAATAAATTGATAGTCCAATGTTGGTAGATACTACCAAAGTAGCCACAATTCCATTTAGTGTTTTTTTTTTTTTTTTTTTTTTTTTGGGCCATCCTGATTCCCTTAATTGGTTAAGTTTAGCAACACCCAATGGTTACTAGGCGGTTTCATACAACTGCCTATTTCTAGAAAATGAAGTATATTTGTTGGAATGATCATTGTAATAAGTACTGTTATTGCATATTGCAATTATAGTCAAGAGAGAATGCTGGTCCGCTTCATCAAATTTCAGAAGCATGCGCACCTTGCCTCCCACAAAAGCATATGTATTAGAAATTAGATTTGCTAAAATTATAAAACCCTCCCCTTTCCCTAACCTTAATGAATGGGGTGCATGGTTAGGGTAAAAAAATGGCTAAATGGATTCTCATGTAAACAAATAAAAGATTTTCCATGATCAATAATACATTTCATAGAAATAAATGTTATAAAAAGGAAGTCCAACAACTTATCTTTGGCTATTTTTAATTTCCTTTTTTGTTTAACCATTCCTTTAAAAAAAAAGTCTTTTTGATTCTCATATAACAAATTAGCAAAATCATGCTTATTTTAGTTAGTATCTGACATCAAAAGTGCCCTCACATATAAAAAAATCCAACTTCTTACTAGTGTTAAGGGCAGGGGCTGCTAAACTACATTGAAGCTTGACCCAGAAACAAGGAAGGTTGGGACAATAAAATAAACAAAACATGCAACTACTAAGCTAAGCAAAACGAGGATTCCCTCTCTGTAAGAGCAATGCTGTACCAACAACAAATTTAGAAGATGTCACTGAAACATCAATATGGCCAAAGTACCTGACCATATCATTAACACTCATCATTGCTTCCAAAGAAACCAGATGCAACTAGATTTTCCAAAATCCTTTGCTCTTGTAAAATTAAACAAGCCAGTAAACAAGATACGTTGAAAACTCTATCTTCTGTATTAAACTCATTGTTTGGCGGAGAAGGAGGCATTTTAAGGTAACATTTAGTAACTACTTTGATTAGTAGGTCTACTTAGCAGAGATTGCCACATGATGTATAAATGACTGCTTTGCAGGCAGTGCTATCTTGATAACAAATAAGACTCAGATAAAGGACAGTTAAGGCAAAATAATTCATGGAATCTCATGACGTCATAAATTTTAAAACACCACAATCATCATCATCATCATCATCAGATAGAATAAGACAGATCGACCAAACTTACAATGTAAGAACTGGCGTGAGAGTGCAGATAATGGAGCAAACTAATGACACATTGTGGAGGAGGTGTCATTCCAGAAGTGAATCCATGACTCCAAACCAATTCAAAATACTCACATGCAGCAACAAAAAAAGCAGCAGCCAGGAAGACCGTGAAAACCCATCCCCCAGCCAATGCTATAGCTCCAACAGAGACTCCAATGCCAAGACCAAAAATGATCCTCTTCCTTAGTTGACTTGCTTTCTATTTATGACCTGAAACAGAATCCTCCTATTATTGATGAGGTTTGGCCTTTGCCAACATCCCACAACACAGCCATTTCAGTAAATCCCATCCTCTTACCAACAAAATGCAAGCCAAAAAATAACTAGAAGACAAAACAGAAAGTAAAAGCAAGTTTATCATGCCAAAAGAATTCCAACCGTAATCACAATTGCAATTCATCAATTGGACAAAACTTGAATTACAAAAAAAGATTTACCATTTATTATACTATAAGTACTTCCTAACTTAATTATAATAATACAATAGTACAAATCATGAATGGAATTAATCATTCTCCATTACTAAATCTAGAAAATGGTTAGAGATCATTCCTAACACACATTCTTGCACCTTTGGAGATCAATCTTTTATTATCCTCTCTTTGGCTATCAATTACTCCATTTTCTAATCATTTGTACCCCAAACAACTGTCATATCGAATTTCCATGCTCTTCAAACTACATATCTAACACATCATACACGATGTAACCGAACCCAATACGCCTACAACTATAATTGAATTACCTTCCCCTTGGCATTGTCCTCGTCGAGTCGGTCTTGCTCAGCTCGAACCCAGGCCGTGGTAACGCCGCGGTTGCGGCTGTCATAAGCGCTCGTCTGGCGAACCGGCAACGGAAACTTGGATCCATCAATTATCAGTCGAAGATTTGAGTTTGGAGCACCGGCGACCGAGACCTAGGGTTCTGCTCGTGAAGGAGAGCGGCGGGGACACGCACAAAGCAAAGTTACAGAGAGTGGAACAAGATTGTACAGATCGATTTCCACGAAAAAGGGCACAAGAATACATTCGTCGAAACGGAATTTAGTCTTGGAGAAATGCAAGGGAGAGAGGATATGGGCTTATAAAATTTGGAGGGAAAAATTAGGTCGGCGGCAGAAATTTGGAGCAAAAGGCCGGAAACTGTTCCTACTAATGGTTTGAACTGGCCCAAGATTGCAAACAACACTGGGCTCATGATTGCAATTTAACTGACAGGTCTGAGGAGTCATGGGCTTTCTAAATTATTGTTAATGGCCTGGGCTTTTCCAAAATAGGGTTAATGTAATCCGGCCCAGTTCATCCATTGGATACCGGTGAGGCGGTAACAGAACGAAGACGGCCGAAAAGGGAAGTAGAAAACCTCTTCCGATTTTCAGATTCGATCCAAAAAAATTCATGGCGAAACGTAAAAATTCAGACTCTGAATCTGAGAGTGAAGACGAAGAGAAGTTGAGTTCAGAAGAAGGAGCGGATAACTCCGGTAGTGATGGGGAAGGGCAAAAACCGGAGATATCAGAGTACGAGAAGCAGAGGCTGGCGAGAATTGCAGAGAACAGAGCCAGAATGGTGGCTTTGGGTCTCCCCAATATGGCTTCTTCTTTGATGGGTTCCAGTCAGAATTCGACTCAGAATTCCAGAACACATAAAGGGAAACGCAAGGCCGCTGAGGAGGACGAGGATTATCGGCCAAATCATGAGGATGACCATGACGACGACGACGACGAGCTCGACAATGATGATCAAAATGATGATGATGAGGAATTTTTGGGTAATAATGCTTCTCGTTCTCGAAAAAATAAGGTTGGTGCTCTGCTGTAGTTGAATATCTCCTTTTGGGACTTCGTATTTGTGGGTGTTTACTATAATATCTCTGCTCTTTGGTCTTTGGTCCCCTTTTCCAGGTGAAGAATAAAGGTCCAAAATCTAAGAAGATAGCTACTATTACAAATAATTTTAGTAGCTCGGATTTTGTTGATGACGACAAGGACCTAATGAAGGTAATTTCAGTAACTAATGGAGCAAATAATGTTTTCATTGCAAGTTTAATGATTGGGGTGTTTGAACTGGTATAGGTTATTGCTTGGCTGTTGGGACGATTAGGTTGAGCATTATATTATAGTGAAGATTGAGTGGAAGCTCTAGTCTATACTGAACTGTTAGCATTTATATGCAGGCAATTGCTCTATCTCTGCAAGAGTCATCACAAGATTCATGTGTAGTACATAGAGATGCACAAGATGCTACTTTTGGGGAAAGAAAGGGAAATACTCATATGAAAAAGAAAAAATCGGTTTGTTCTGGCCCTTACTGGTGTTCAGATTGTAAGATTTGTTTTCTTTGGCTTTTATCCACTTAATGAGTGTTTCTCAATTCTCAGTTTTCTTTTCACTTGTGGAATGCAGTTTGCCAGTCGGGTACAAATGAATGAGGATGAAATGATCATGCACTTCTTTATGTTTGATGGTAAACTGATGTCAATGACAGTACTATCTTCTCTTGTGTTGCCAGCATGAATGCGTTTGAGTAGAGGACAGCTTCATTTTTGTTTGCATTAGAAGTATGAGAATGGAAACTGCATCATCCTTTTAAGTTTCAGATGCTTCAAGTTACCTTAAAGGTTTCTGACATATGGTAACTTGGAAGATCTTATACTTTGTGCATTAGAATTGCTAAAGGATTGTAAAGATTATTAAAATTAGGTTTTCTCAGTTATCATCTATTTTTCTGAAGAAAGTTATTTGGTTATTCCTACAATTTGGCTACTGGTTTGTTCTATAAAGAGATTCAAAACAGAAGTATCTATCATGTCATCTAACATTACAATGTTATGTGGAAGAATTATGGGCGCTTAATGCTTTGGCCAGACCAGTTAACTAAGTAGTGGGAATGTGAGTTGGCTGGCTCAAATTTGTTTTCTTCCCTAAACCTCTAACCTAAAGTCAAAAGACTTGCACCAGAATTTAGAAACCATGAAAGTGATTATTGATATTGCTGAAATATACGTCTGTGTTGATTCTTATTTCATATAGATTAATCTCTCTGATCCTTTTCCTCGAAGATTTCTTTTGCTTATTGATGAAGAGCATTGTTGACATGCAGAAGCTGGAAAAGGAGGCATAACTGTGAGAGATTTACAAAGAGTAGCAGTTGCACACGATTTTATGTGGACAGATAAGGAGTTGGCTGATATGATCCATTGCTTTGATGGCAATGGGGCTGGGAAGGTCAGTTTTTCTATTTCTATGTTCCTAACAGATAAACAACTTTCAAGTTATGTTTTATGCTTAAATTGTTGAGGCATAGAGGAAGCTGGAAAAAGTAGTGAATAGATGGTCTGGACTTAAGTGCTTACCCAAACATGTTAGTAGCAAATTAATGTTGCCATTACACCATAAAAACTAGAGAATTAGATACTCTTTGCAGGTAGACTGCTCCACTTCTCTGCCTGATGTAGTGACACTTCTTTGCTTGAATTAACCTAGAAACCTGAAATATGTAAATAATGCCATTGGCTGGCGAACTACACTGCTACAGCTAAAGTCTAATTTATGTAGTTTGTGTACCTGATTTTGTTTCATTTTCATTGGACTTGATATCTTCTGATGCTACCTAAGTTATTAGGGAATCAAAATGTCAGTAGAGCGTTGGTGATGTTGACCATTTCAACCATTTATGTTGTTACTCCTTACCTAATAGTGGACCTTTGCTCACTAATTGCTTGAGAAACATGTCCGAGCGATCATCCCACATCAACTTACATGATTGAGATGAATTTTTTTATTAGATAAAGTGTTAAGCACAATCTTGCATTTTGCTTGCAGCTTACTCTCCAAGATTTCAGGAAGATTGTCAGCAGATGTAACATGTTACAACCATCTTAAAATTCTCCATTTGTTCTGTTAGTCTCATAGTATATATTAGACTCTGTTTTCTGGTATTTTCCCTGCCTCTGAAACCCTTAGCGGTTGTGTGCTTGTATTATGGCTTTTAATGGGCATGAGGTAATCGTACCAGGCTTCTGAGCAATGAACCTTAGCAAGACTTGTAGGAATCTGTATTTAGAAGAATTGAAATTGACTACAGTCCTTGTCATCAGAGACATGGGAATTTTTTTTTTTTCTTCTGAGCATGGGGAAATTCTGGGGAATGCAGAAACTTGTTTGTAGTGAAAATCAAACGTTTGATCAACTAAACCTAAGTATTAAAGATTGAAACGAAGCATTGAACTTAAAAACCCGGTTTCATAGATATGGGAATTTGTGATCGTCATACCTCTTTTTTTTTT